GAGATACCTGCACTTCCACGTTCACTGCAGCCCTATTCATAAGATCCAAGATATGGAAACAACATGTGTCCACGGACGGAGGAACAGATAAAGAAAACGTGGTGTATATAATATACACAGTGGGATACTGCTCAGCCTCAGAAAAGAGGGAAATCCTGTCATGTATGACAACGTGGATGAATCTGGGGACATGATACAAAGTGAAATAAGCCAATCGCAGAAAGACAAATACCCCATGATCGCACTCATACTCGTGTGGATTCTAAAAAAGCTGGACTCAATAAAAACAGATAGCAGAGGGCTGGCCCGGTGGCGCACTGCTACAGTGCGCCGCTTGGGAGTGCAGCGGCGCTCCCGCCGAGGGTTCGGATCCCACATACAGACCGGTTCCCGCTCACTGGCTGAGCGAGGTGCGGGCGCAGCACCGAGGGTTGCGATCCCGTTGCCGGTCCCGGTCTGGTACGGGCGCGACACTGAGGGTTGCGATCCGTTGCTGGTCACGAAAAAAGACAAAAAGGTAAAAAAACAAAAAAATCAGATAGCAGAATGGGGTTGCCAGGGGCTGGGGGTCAGGTGGAGAAATGGGGGATGGTGGTCACAGGGTACAAAGTTTCAGTTAGACCGGAGGAACAAGTTCTGGAAATCTTTTGTACAATGTCACTATGGCTAGTGATACTGTAGTGTACACTTGAAAACTGCGGAGAGTAGATCTTACATGTTGTCACAACAGAAAATAAGTACGTGAGGGGTGGATAGGTTAGTTAGCTTGATGTAACCATTTCACAGTGTACACATGCATCAAAACCTCACATTGCCACAGTAAATATATACAATTTTAATCAACTATACCTTAATAAAAAAAAAAAAAAAAAGTAAAACCCACGCCACTGGCTGTGGCAAAAATGAATCGCAAAGGGCCAGACGGGGCTGAAACCAGTGACGGGGAGGGGGCAGGATCTGGGGGAGGCGCTGTGGGAAGAACCACAGACAGATCTCGGCCACCAGGAAGGCAGAGCGGAGGCTGCAGGGGACGGGTGACGAGGCACAGGAACGACCATCCACACGGCTCCCCGGCTTGCTGCCTGCTGCAGGCGCTTGGTCGGGCGCCTCTCCCTGAGATGCGATGCTGGGGAGGATGCAGTTTGCAGGGACCTGCGGTGGGGCCTGCAGGCATCTAGGGAGCCCGCTGCTGTGTCCATCTGGGCCAGAGCCACCGGCAGTCAGAGGGGATGAAGCTAATGGATCTGGGGGCCCTCAGGGAGGGGTGCCTGGGATGGAGACCTGAGATCTGCAGTGTCCACTGAGCGACCCAGGCAGAAGGAGGAGCAGGTCCTGGGGAGGGGGAGAAAGGGCTCATAACCACTGACCCCACCTGTGTTTTAAAGGATGGGAAGGAATTCGTGCACTTGATAGTAGTGCCTGCCTGATTAAGGTATTCTTTATAATCCATTCACCCAATCTGAGAACCAGGATGTGTGGGCAGAAAGAAATGTGCAAGAACAATCTCTGGAAACAGGGGTGGGGGCAGCCTCTACTGAGGATCCAGGGAAGTTCTTACCCTGTTTGCTCTCCAGACCCTACAGCCTGTCTGTGCTTAACCCTCTGGGCCTCAGTAGAAAACCCCTTCCCCGGCCCGCCCATCCCATCCATGGACAGAGGGCTCAGGCATCCTGGGGACGCCTTCAGGAGATGTGAGGTGGAGCCTGTGGACAGTCCTTGGGCCTTGGGGTGGCAGGAGGTTGATTTTTCTTTGAGTCTTTCCTAAAGCCTTTAAGCAGGAGCCACAGGCCTCAGGTGGTCAGCTTGAGCAAGTCCCTGGGCAGTCTCCTAGCCAAGGTCCCAGCCCTGCTCTGGAAGTGTCCAGGGATGTGCCCCACGGCAAGCCCTGTACAAGTCCCCAATGCCTGGGTTCCAGCTGGAGGTAGTAACTCGTCATCTGTAGCACGTCAGGAAAAGCAATCCCCACTGTGCACCTGCACCACCTACCTCCCAGGGCTGCTACGACAACAAAATGACCTGAGGTCAGGGCAGAGACTTAACACCAACACCAAGCTGGGACTGTGCATCTCCCACCTGGTACCAGGGCCCTCGTGCTGTAGATAAGGTTAGTTAGGTGACCTGTGCAGGGTCACACAGCCGGGAACTGGGAGAAGCAGGACTCAAACCCAGGCAGGCTGGCTGCTGGGATCTTTCCACATCTTGCTGCTTCCCGGAGGCGCGTGACACTTGCACAGTCATGTGATGGTGCACTTGTGTGTGAGAGAGAATGAAACCACATTAGAGGCAGCCAATGACTCACCACCCGGCGTAAGTCAGCCGAGCGGGCTGAGGCTCATTCCCCACCTGGACTGGGCCCCAGAATCTACCCCCTTCACTGTCGTCCCGACCCACCACCTCCAACAGCCCCACACAGAGGGAGGGCAGGAGCACCCGGGGCCCACTTCTAGCTGTTTCCCTATAGAAACAGCTGCACAGCGAGTCTGGATAGATGTTGTCTCACAGCAACGAAATGGCAACAGCTGGAAACAGCCTGTAGCGGATGCCGTGATGAGCCCAGACGTAGATGATAACACCACAGAGCCCTACTGCAGGCCAGCACGTTCTAAGCACTACACAGATATCCTCTCATCTGATCTTCAAAACGACCTTCGTATTACCTCCATTTTCCAGCTGGGAAAACTGAGGCACAGAGAAGTTGAGCAATGGCCCAATCTGAGAGGGTGACACAGCTACTAGGTGCAGGGGCCTGGTCATCCATGACATTTTATTGAGTGAAAAGCATATTGCAGAATATGCATGTTATATACAGCTCTATTTATGTAAAAATTACACACATATGTGAATGTGTCTATACATATACAAATAGTATATGTATATTTATATTCAATATTTTTGTATACACATATGTAAATAGGAAAACCATCAAGAAAGTCAAACACCAAATTGTCCCTTTTCACATTAGACACTTCCATATCGTTTCGATAAGCATGTACTAATTCTGAAACTTAAATCAATAAAAAGCATTTTACAATGCTGGTTAGACACTTAAAAACCCTTGATTGCCCCTAAAAACTTCATCAGGGCTTTTCCTTGCAAGTTGCTAGACAAGGGAAGAAAACAGCTCTCCACCCTTTTCAAGGGCCCTGCAATAACTACCAGGACCCCAAAAAACACCCTCTCCCCGACAGAGCTGTGGCACTCTCCCTTGACAGTTTCGTAATCCTGGTATTCCATCCCAATTCCTCTCCACCTTCGTCCTGTCTGCATCCATAGTTCAGCTGTTTAAACTGATGGGTTGAAGCCCTTGGGGTATCATGGAAACTTGCTCAGGACTTAACGTTAGGTGAGAAAGGCAATATACAAAATTGTCAATTCCTTGGACTATGAATCTGTGTGACATACAGCAACTGCAATGGAGGGGTAGCCTTCTTGATAGAAAAAGCTTAAACAGATGTATGAAAATTTCAAATTGGTAAGTGTGCAAAGAATAAAATCGGACATTCGCATTAGGAAAAATAGACACAAAATATTGAAAATAATTAGTAATTAGAGAACTACAATGAACAACAATGGCAGAGTGTTGTTCTCCCATAAATTAGCAAGGATTTCAAAGATGCAATGACACCCAATGGTGCAAGCATGCAGGGCCTAGACTCTGACACGGGGCTTGTGTGCACACACGTGGGCACATCTTTCAGGAAACCCATTTGGCCTTGGGCATCACGATCTTGAACAATGTTAAAACTATGGACCTCACAATTCCGTTTCTGGAAATCTAAGGAAATAATTAGAAATGAAAACAAATGTTTACATATGAAGATGTTCACCATAACACAATTTATAGAAAAACATACAGAAAATCTAAATGCCCAATAAAAAAAAGTCAAACAAATTAACCACTACATTGTGTATTATGAGCCATTAAAAAGTTACTGATGAAGAGTAATGTTACTCATAAAATGTTAAGTGAAAAAAGAAGGATTACAAATAACAGCTCTTGTACAAAGTCACCTAAACAGGCAGAAAATGAAGGCGACAACCCTTAACATCAACGGTAAGTTGCGACGGGCTAGAATCAGAGGGAAAATGCTTTTCCTTCTCGTGATTTTCTGACAATTTTTTGGATTGGGCGTGATGATACTTTTATGATAAGAAACATAGCACACACATTTTACTTCAACAACACACCCTAGCTGTCTCCTCAGAGAGCTCTCTGGCACTGCCCCTTCAGGACTGGTCACTCAGGCCCTGGCTCATCTGTTCTGCAGCCTCTGTTTCCCTTGTGTCTTCTGCTCAGTCCGCTATTCAATGTAATGGACATTGTAACGTGCCTACGCTGTGCAGTGACACCTGGTGTGAACCCAAACAGAAGGGACCTGGGGTGGGATACAGAAATGTACAGACATGCATCCCTCCCGCACAGAGCTCAGGGTTTCATGGAAGAGCCGGACAGACAATCAATGTTCTGTAATCTGAGAACAGTGAAAAAAGCGTCCCCAGAGAGGCCCAAGTAACGGCTTTGTATATTCAAGGAATGAAGCAATTGTGACTAGGGAAATGGGAGAAGGTGATCGTCGAGCTGGGTCTTGAAGGAGAGTGACATTTTGACAAGCAGAGAAGAAAGCGCATCCCTAGCAGGCGTGCAGCACAAACAAAGGCCCAGCAGTGTGACAGGTTTTAGGGGATGGCAGCCAGGACAGCATATACCCAGGGTGGGTTATGTAGAGAAAGAACAGTGAGGCTTGACCAAAGACAGCCTTGCACGCCAGGCTACAGAAATGGCCCTCTTCTGTGAACAAGGGATACCTCCAAAGGGTTTCAAGGAGAAGATGACAGACTCCTTAAAGAGGGAGTCTGTTTTTTCATTATTTATGTGGCAGTGTGCAGCTCATAACTGGGTTCACAGCAGATGCAGATAAAGGGAATTTTAATTCCACATAATCTCTGGATCTACCAAAGAACCAGGAATTCCAAAGCCCCATTCTGGGGCTTTAACTGACCTTTGTCCTGGACCAGCACCTCCAGCTCCTCTCGAACACCATCATACCAGCTTGTGATGTCCACGTGGAGGGAGTAGTCACAGCAGGATTTGGTGTCAGCCGCCTCATGCCACTTCTCAAAGGAGGTCAGCAGGCTGGACCCAGGTTCAGGAACAACATGGTCAACTGACAGAGAAATAAATATCATGATGCTTAGGACCCAAGTTTTTGCAGTGATAGCCACATCACTACCACCATCTCTATCACCCATCACCACCATCACCATCATAATCATCATCACCAATATCATCATCATCACCATCATCATCATCACCATCACCACCATCATCACCATCATTATCATCACCATCATCATCACCATCACCATCATCATCACCATCATTATCATCATTATCACCATCACCACCATCATCGCCATCACCACCACCATCACCATCACCACCATCATCGCCATCACCACCATCATTACCATCATCACCATCACCATCATAATCATAATCACCAATATCATCATCATCACCATCTCCATCATCACCATCACCATCACCACCACCATCACCATCACCACCATCACCATCATAATCATAATCACCATCACCACCACCATCACCATCACCACCATCACCATCATAATCATAATCACCAATATCATCATCATCACCATCATCATCATCACCATCATAATCATAATCACCAATATCATCATCATCATCACCATCATTATCACCATCATCATCACCATCACCACCACCATCAACATCACCACCATCATCGCCATCACCACCATCATTACCATCATCACCATCATCATCACTATTACCACCATCATCATCACCATCATCACCATCATAACCACCATCACCACCACCATCACTATAATCATCACCATCACCATCATCATCACCATCATCACGGCGGCCGACACCATCACCACCACCATCACTATAATCATCACCATCACCATCATCATCACCATCATCATCATCATCACCATCATCACCATCATCATCATCATCATCACCACCATCACCACCATCATCACCATCATCATCATCATCACCATCATCACCATCATAACCACCATCACCACCACCATCACTATAATCATCACCATCATCACCATCATCATCACCATCATCATCATCATCACCATCATCATCATCATCACCACCATCACCACCATCATCACCATCATCATCATCATCACCATCATCACCATCATCACCATCATCATCATCATTACCACCATCACCACCACCATCACTATAATCATCACCATCACCATCATCATCACCATCATCACTATCATCATCACCATCATCACCATCACCATCATCACCATCACCATCATCATCATCAAAAGTGGCAATCACAATCCCAAACACAATAATCCTGAATATTGAAATCTCAAAAGATCAAAATCTCTAAAGTCTAAAATCCCCAACATCACAATCCCAAAAGATTAAAATCCCAAAAATATAATTCTGGAAAAAAATAACTTTAAAATTCTTTAGAAGATGTTTATTTATATTTCCAAAAGTGATTTATTTGAAAAACATAAAAACACAACAGAACACATCATAGGCTGCTTTACAAAATAAAATAGGCAACAATAACATACATAGTTTTGCAAATACTGACACTCAGGCTTACAAAAAACAGTTGCATGGCTATCACAGGTATGAACAGACAAACTGTATTCATAAGGAAATAGGTCAAAAGCAGAAACGTAGAAACACAGATCACTATGATTGGTAATGGTGTGCACCCAGCTCTGTAACCATGGTCATCTGAAATACCGTGACAGACAACGTAAGTCTTTTGACAGGATCAATCAGAAACCAAGATGAGTGTCAACCACATATTCAGTGACCCAAAGAGCTGAGACCTCAAGAAGTTTTGTCTTCTACAAATGCAGATATGCAAAAAGGACATTCCTTCTCCAGAATTTAGTTTTCAGGATTTTAACACTTGAGATTTTAATCTTTTAGGATTTTGATTTTTGGGATATTAGATGTTAGGGATTTTAGACTTTAGGGATTTTGATCTTTCAGGAGTTCATCATTCGGGATGGCATCTTTTGGGATTACAGCTCAGACCTTGTTATCATCACTCCACCATCATTACTATCAACACTGCCATCGTTGTCCCCATCACTACCATAACCATCAGCAGTGACGTCACACCACCACCATTGTCATCACCATCACAAAGATTTATCGAATGTTTATGTGTCAGATAGTACCACAAAGACTTTGCACAAATTATTTCATTTAACCTCACAGCCGTTTCGTTAAGTGAATATTAATATCCCTATTTTGCAGATAAAAAAACCTGAGGCTCAAAGAGGGTAAGGAACTTGTGCAAGGTCACACAACCAGCAAGTGGCAGGAAGAAGAGTCCCTCCGGGACCTGTCAGACAGTCTGAGCCTCACACTACTCCACATGGCCTCCCTTGGCATAGAGTAATGAAAAGGACCTTAAAGAGTAAAGAATGTTAACTTCATCGATCCTTCAAATGAAATGTTACATGTCAAGTAGATTGAATGTGGAGCCTCCTGGCCTTTAAACCTCATTGATTTCACATACCCCTGTAGCTACTGCCCTGTTTCTATACGCCCCCACCCTCCACAGCCAGGCGTCTATAAATAATTACTGTTTTCCTCTCCCACTCATGCCTCCATCCATCCAAAGCATCGGCCTTTGCTAATCTGACCTTTGCATCTCTAGGTCTAGTGGAAACATCTGGTCCTCACTCTATGTGGCCTGTCATGGCACAGTCAATCACCCCCTTCTTTAAACTCTCCCTTCTCTGGCTTCTACAGCAACACAAATTTCTGGCTTTTTCTGGTATTTGTCCTACTTCTTTGGCTGCATCTTTTCAATCTCCTTGTAGCTCTTCATCCTCTACTTGTCCATCAAGTGATCTAACCCTTTATGGCTTGTCCTAGAACTTTTCTATGCACCTGCTCATTAAAATGTACCAATTCCTTTGAGCCACAGAACTCTGGACCCAGTTGTGTCCCTGACCTCCCCACTAGGATGACTCAAAAGCTTCCCAAAACCAAAATGTCCAAAACAATGCAATATTGTCCCCTCTCCCACCCCTCTTGCAAACCTGCAGCCCCACCCCAGCTGTGAAGGACAGCTCCACCTGACAGCCCCACAAGCCAGAAGCAGAGGGGTTGCCCTGGACACCTCCTCTCTCTCACATACCCACACCTAATCCATCACCAAGGACTGCTGAGGCACCTCCCACATATCCCCAGAGCTGCCCACCTCTGCCCACCTGCACGGCCAGGCCACCCTCTTCTCTCAGCAAAACTACTGCAATCACCTGCCATCCGGTCCAGCCACACCCAACTTGGGCCACTCTATTCTGGTCTCTTCAAAACCCAAAACAGATCTCATCGGTCCCTGGTTAACATCCTTCAGTGGCTGCCCATCATACACATGAAAAAGAACAAAATTCTTGCCTTGGCCATCGAGGCTATAACCATCCTCTCCTTCTGGTCTCATCTTGCAGGATTCTAGTCCTCAACCTGGGCAGCTCGCCTCACAGGCCTCCCTTCAGGCTCTGGAGCGCAAGGTGCATTCTCCCACCACAGGGCCTTTGCACATGCTGTTCCTGCCTTCTGCACTCTGCTCTCTGTCACCCTCATCACCTGGTTAATTCCTATTTTTCCTTCAGACCCCTACACAAATGCTGTTTCTTCAGAGAAGGCTTCTCTGAGCCTTTTCCCCTCAGTTCAAAGCAGTGTGCACCCTTCTTCTGTAGCACTAGTCAAAGCCACATGTGTGGGTGGTTGGGGACTCCCCACAAGACTGCAAGCCCCTTGAGAATAAGCATTGTTTATGCTTTTGTTCATCCCCCCACCCCAACGTGGCACAGTGCCGGGTACAGAACCACCCTCAATAATATCTGTTGAATGAAGAAATGGGAGAAGGTGACTCAGAGTCTGCCTGCCCCTCTCAGATCGCCCCTTACTGTGGTCCTCACGGTGCCTTCATAGGTTCTTGCTATTCCATAAAAAACACTTTGAAAACCCCCCTTCTACAGTTGGGGAGCAGGAGCCCACAGGGGCAGGGCTCTCCCAGTGTCTCGCAGCTGGTGATGGGGAAAGAGCAAGGTGGGACCCCAGGAATCCTGGCATCTCATCCAGGGCTCTGTCCCCTGCCCTGTGCAGGTCACATGAGCCCAGAACTTCCATCTCCACCTCTCAGAATTCTCATGTGCCATGCACTTCACTAAGGAACCTCAAATACATCTCCCAACAACTCCCAGGGGCTTCACATTAGAAAAGTCATGTTACAGATGAGGAAGTTGAGGCTCTGGGAGGCCTGAAGTACTGGCTCACAGCCATATAGCTGCTGCATTGGCAGTGCTCAGGTTCAAACCCTGGCAGCTGGGATCCAAGTCCAAGTGTGCCCAGGTCCAAAGCCTGGGTTCCTCCCACTTTCCCAACCAGCAGATTCAAGGGCTGCCCTTTGGAAAAGGAACCAGGACTGCACCGGCCTCATGAGCCGAGCCGCGCCCTCCCGGCTCAGAGGGCTGGGGTCCTGGAACGCCTGAACTCTGCTCACGGTGCTGGCTCCAGCTCACAGTGTATAGTGCCATAGGGACTCCCAGGAGGGGAGACAGCAGGGCTGGGGCCAGCTCACGGATGAGCCACCTGGGATTGGAGAACCTACCACTTAAGAGAACATGTATAATCAACCATTGTCTACTTCACTAAAATCACCATTAAAAGGGAATCCAAGCAAAAGCAGCTATTCAAAAACAAAACAAACAATGACAGTCAGGCTGCACAGGGCAGCTGGAGAAGACAGCATCTCCCACAACTCTCCTTCCTCCCCAGCCTCTCCACAGCTCACTGTGGCAGCATATTCCTGGTGACTGTGGGCTTGGCCATGGCCAATGAGACATGGGGGCAGTCCCTGCAGGTGAGGGAAGAGATTAGTGGAAGAGCACTGGCGGGTGAATTCACCCTGGGGAGAGCATGCGTGGGCAGTCACTGCTTCCAGAAGGGGAGACCCACAGCAGAGCCGCCCCAGCACCAGCCCTACGCCGGCAGACCCTTGAGTGAGAAAACCGAGTGTTGCTGGAGATGGAGGGGCCGTTCATTCTGCAGCTTCGCACAGCCTTCCTGCAGCGATCCCGACCAGCACAAGTACCTCCCAGCTGTGTGACCCTGGCAAGGAGCTACACCTCTCTGAGCCTCTGTTTTATCACTGGATCCAAAACTCTACCCATCTTCACACTTCAGGACTTCTTTTGGCTTTATCTCCCTGTAACCTGCATCATCCTTTGCTTAAGACTTTTCCTTAAATCAATTCCATGTCTAAAAAATCTAAATGTTAACTTCAATCTCATCCTAAGCAATAATAACCATGATGTGCTAGTTATTTTATTTCAATACACATTAAAGTAATCTTTTAAAATGCTTATTTCCATATGCCTATAAAACCGTTGTGTGCCACCAGTGACACACATAACACACTTTGTCAAATACTGATCTTTATCATAGGATTGTAGTGAGAGTAAAAATAAATGACACTCTGAGCAAATTGCCTGGTATATACTGAGCATCTGTGGTGTTCCTGATGATGCTGGTGATGAAGGAGAGTGGCAGCCTATGTCCCTAAGGCAGGGGACAGTGCAACTTACTGATCATCGTGGTCCCGCCAGCCAGTGCTGCCTTGGTCCCTTGGAAGAAGTCATCAGCCGTGGTCATCCCCTGGGCGGGCTTCTGTAGGTACGTGTTAACATCAATACCCCCGGGAATAACCATCCGTCCATTGGCTTCTATGGTCTTCACACCACCAGGAACAATTAGGTTCTCTCCTATTTGTCTGGAGACAAACAACAGAGATGGCCTTTGGTTCTTAAAAGGAAAATAAAAGTCAACCGTGCAACTTCAGTTCCACTAAGTAAACGTTTCTGAGGCAGGCCCTGCACAGGGCACTGGGCAGATAGAGCTAACTCAGGCAGGGTCCCTGCCCTCCAGGGGCTCATGGTCTACTGAGCAGGAAGGCATGTAGGCAGACTGTTAGAATTCAGTGTAGTAGATGGGGTTCAGGAGCACAGGTGGGCCATTTCACCCAGCCTGGTTATCTGGGAAGGCTTCTAGGGGGAGGTGGTGGCAGAGGGCTGTCTGAGCAGCCTGTCCCTCTGGAGTACCTTGCACGGTTTTGGCTTTGCCCTCAGGGATACAGTTGACAATGTTGTCATTGCAGGTAGGCAGTAAAAAGTCCCCTCAGCTCTGCAAGATTTCAGAGACAGTGTTATGGGCCAGACTGTGTCTTCTCAAAATTCACATGTTGATGTCCTAATCCCCAGCATCTCAGCATGCAACTGTGTGTCTCCAGACAGGGCCTTTACAGATAATTTAAATGAGGTAATTAAGGTAAAATGAGGTCACCAGGGTGGGCCCCAATCAATATGCCTGGTGTCCTTATAAGAAGAGACTAGGACACAGACACACACACACAGGGATGACCACGTGAGTACTCAGGGAGAAGACAGCGATCTACAAACCAAGGAGAGAGTCCTCAGGAGTAATCAACCCCACTGATACCTCAGTCGTGGACTTCCAGCCTCCAGAACTGTGAGAAATAAACATCTGTTGTTTGAGCTCCCTGGTCTGTGGCACTTGTTACGGCAGCCCCAGCACACTAGTATGGGCAGGAACCTGGATTCTCACTTCAGCCAAACATTCAGGAGCACTGGCTCAGGGGAGCTACTTACACTCCCTGGGCATCCACAATAAAGCTAACAACACTTTAAAACTTGCTGTGAGGGAATCACACTGGGGCAGGAGCATTGCACCTAGTGTGCCCACTACGTTCCCCAGTATAACAGGTGCCTGGAAACTCCCTACAGAAGGAGGGAAGATTCCAAATGGGGAAGGAGGGAGAAGAGCTAAGAAATGAGCAGGCTGGTCCCCCGTGGTCTATAGTGGTGACTTGTTTGATGACCGGTGACATCTGTGTTTTATTTGTTGGAACCAGAGTCAGGAGCTATGTCCATGCACCCAGAGGAAGAGGCTCAGCCAAAACCAGGACAGGGACTAAGCAGCTTCCCAGGTCAATGCCTGGCTGAAACCACTAGATCTGACCATGAGCAATTTTAATTTTTTTAAAAATCCAATTGTTCTGAAAAATTAAGCAGCCTATTAATTTTCCAAGTCATATAAATGCAGCATCTGCTGCCACCACCACCACCTGCATCTGCTGCTACCACTACCTCTAATCACCAGTCCCCCCACCTCTGTAATTTCCAACTTGATTTTACAGAATCCTGTTTTGCCCAATCCTTCTGCCATCTCCAAGCACATGGGCTTATGTCAGGAGCTGAAGGGAAAGGGTTAGGGAGGAACCCCGACCCCTGTAAGCAAAGCAGCGAACCTCTGCTGAACACTGACTGCAGAACAGACTCCTCCGGGCACCTCGTGGATCATCTCATTGAATGCTCACAGCTAATTGTTAGAGAAGACTGGGTAACATTCTAAACACTAGCCCCCTGCAAAAGCACAGGCACAGTCCAGGTGGAACAGGCACTGGCTGAAGACCCTCAGCCCTACACGTGGGTGTCGGTGGAATCACAGCCCAGTGTGATTCGAGTCTGTGACTCAGTTGCCATGCTGGGGGGGCCACCAAGTACTCTTGTCAGGGCCATTCCCATCAGGCACGATTGCAGCCTCCCTTTACAAACACTCTCTGATCTCCCTCCAACAACCCTGTGAGGTCGGAGGTATTCCCAGTTTGCAAAAGAGGACAACAGAATGCAGAGAAGTGTGGTGACTTGTCCAGGGTCACACAGCAAGTCAGTGGTGGGCATGGATTCAAGGCCAGGTCTCCCCAGTTCTAGCATCAGGGCTGTGCCCACCAGGCTTGACTGCCTCCCTGCTTCCCTTACATAGGAGTAGATTCTCCCCGAACTGGTATTGAACTAAATGCCTGCACAGCAACCCCGATGACTTCGGAGGAAACCAGGATGCTCGGTGTGCAATAGCGAGTGCGGGGAGGAAGGAAGCTCAGCTCAGGGAAGTAGACAGACACCCCTCCCCCCACCACCAGAGCATTTCATTCACCAACACTCGGCGAAATGGGTGAAAACCTCAGTGAATCATAATTCAATGAATCATAATTCAATGAATCAGACAGTCGAATAGCTTTTAGGAAAACTTGGCAAATGGCCACAAAATAGAAGGGTGCTTGAGGTTTTATCAAAGTGAAGGAAAGAACTGAGCCTCTGCACGCAGGTGGCCCTGCCCAACTCTTCCACACCTGCACGTCTCAGCCAGTAGGACTCGTGCTCAAGATGACTATGTGGACCCTGCAAGATGCTCAGTTGTGGTCACTCACTGTGCCTGACAAGTGGCAAAGGGATGCCGAGCTCAGCTAGCTTTTGAGCGATGGGACTCAAGGAAGAAGGATTCTGAACAAAGGAGCTGCCTCATGCTGAACCGGGAGAGACTGTGCACTTTCTGACCAGCCTGGTTAGCCAGAGACTTAAGACTCCAGGTATTCATACCTACAGCAAGCACTTAATACTTGCAGCTCAACCGAAGACCACTTGCCCCATCTGTATACATCCTGGGACTGCAAAGCTCTGTAAGGACCTTGGCCCAGGAAGGACAGGGTACAAGTGGCCAGTTCGAGCAGCAGGTGGCCATGGGAGGAGTGCCCCCTGAAATCCTTCTCAGTGTTATTTTACCCGAAGTCCTGAGAGCCCCAGAGGCCACACACAAAGGGCGTTCCCCAGAGCTATTCTCAATCTCTCTTTATCCCTGCTCTGGTTCCAGGCTGCACCATGGCCGAGAGCAATGTCCCCACCATTTGATGGCTTGGGACCCATTTGTACACACATCCCCTCAATCCACACTCCTGGGTGCTGCTGTGTGCCAGCCCGAGTGTGGAGGCAATGAGGTAAGGTCCCCTGTCAGGGAGTGGACACAGGGTGCGCAAGATGGTGGCTGGCAGTGGCCCATGGCAGAGGGACAGAGGAGGGATTCCTGGAGGAGGAATCACATGAGCTGGGCCCAGAGGAGCTTGTGGGGGGACGGAGGCAGAGGCCGGGGAGCAGCAGGCACTCCAGGCAGAGGATTTATGGGTGCCGGGCTCCAAGGTCAGAGCAGCCTGGCAAGTTTTCATTGTGGCTGGAAGAGCGAGCAAGGAAGGGAGAGGGGACAAAGCCAGAGGAGGGGAGGCCTGAGCTGGCCCTGAAATGGTCAGTCTGGGGCTGGAGGGGACAGACAGGAGGCAGGGGAGCTCCACTGTCCTAAGTCTCTAGCTTCACTGGGTGCTTTGTATATGTGGTCTCTTCTGACACCCCCATAATCCACTGCTTTCTCCTGCCATCATCCTCCTCCTCATCAAGGCCTGAGTGGTCCCCAGGATAGTCTTGTCAGCAGGGCTGTCCCTGTTTGACCTTCGACTCCCACAGATGTCCCTTTGCCTTCCCTTCCTGTGCCGACCGCCCAGGCTGGGTCCTGACACAGGCTCCTCCACTTCTCCAGATTCACAGGCAGCAGCTGAGCAGCCAGTGAATCCAGGGCCCTCCTCACATCAGAGAAAAGACCCGCACCTCTCCACCCCTTGACAGTAAAATGTGGGAGGCCACAGAGACACCAGAGTCTGGTGTCATGCACTGAATCATGTCCCCATCCAAATTCACACTGAACCCCACCCCACCCCCACCGCCATGTGACTGTATTTGGAGACAGGGCCTTTAAGAGGTAATTAAGGTTAAATGAGGTCACAAGGATGGGGCCCTAATCCAATAGGTCTGGTGTCCTTTAAGAAGAGATGGACACCGGGAATGCCTGTCCACAGAGAGAAGGCCCGGTGAGCACACGGCGAGAAGGTGGCCATCTACAGGCCAGGGAGAGAGGCGTCTGGAGAATCCAACCCTGACCGCACCTTGGTGCAGGACTTCCAGCCTCCGGGACTGTGAGACATACAGTTCTGCTGTCTAAACCACCCCGCCTACGGCATTTTGCTAGGGCAGCCCAAGCAGACCCAGACACTCGAGTTGTAGTAAGCAGGGCTCAAGAGGGAGCCAATGGGGACAAAGGAAAGGGAAACTCCAGTCCCAACACATGCATGTCTTCTCTTTAAGTGCCAAGGCTCTGTTTGGAAGCCAAGCATTCCTCCTTTCTCCCCTGGCCCCCTCATCCCAATTCCAGACACTGCGGGCAGGCAGACGTTCCAGGGTGGAGTTGCATCTTCCCCTGGTTCGCCCTACAATGTGGGGCCAGCTACGTCACCCCGTGGGCCCACCACCTCTGAGACAGTAGAACAGGGCTCAGTGCCTGCACTTCCCAGCCCGGCTGCACCTGCGGGCACGGGCACTCAGTAAACGCTTGTCCCTGCTCCACCTGCAGTCGGAACCTCCCACACTTTGTGAGGTCTCTACCCCTCGAGTACGGGAACACAGCCCAGTCTTTCTGGGCGGAACGCCAGCCTTCTGTTCCTCCCAAGGCCAGGCAGCCTAGGGAGATGGGTTTCATGAAAGGTCTGCCTTGGCCAACCCACTTTATGAGTCCATCTTCCAGGTAGACATCGGCATAGAAGGACTGGTCGTCATTGATGATCCGTCCACCCTTGATAAGGAGTCGGTCACTCTGAAAAGCAAAGCAAAGTATTTAGCATCACCGGGGGAAAAACCAGGAGATTTTTTTTTCTTTTTAACTTTTAATATAAAAATTCCCAAATAGTTTCAAAAGTAAAGAAATGGCATTTTAAAAAACCCTCCAATCCATCACCCAGTTTGCTTCAGTATTTCCCCATCCAATTCTGCGCCATTCACATTTCACTTATTTCCTGGCACCTGCCCCCGCCCAAACACTTTGTTTTGTTTTTGGTGAAGTATTTTAAGACAAATCCCAAACACTGTATCATTGCACCTGTAAATAATTGAGTATATATTGCTGCTACAGACTTTTTAAATAAACATAACCACAATCCATCTTCCTCGCTAACCCAATTAACATTAATTCTTCCACATCAGTCAAAAATCAGACCATGTTCAATTTTACTTGATTGCGTCAAAAATATCTTTTTACAGTGGTTGTTTGAGTCGGGATCCACTCCAAGCCCCCACAGTGCACCGAGCCCACAGTTCTCTGCAGTCTGTTGAAATCTGTACTGGCCCCCTCCTCCATTTTTAATGTCGTGCATTACATGTTGAAGAAACTGGGTCACTCACAGAACAGGAATTTCTTAAGGCATTATTGAATATGACAATGATCAACTTAGAGACATTTGTAAAGACAGTGAAAACGACCTTTCAAAGGACCCACTCCCCCAGCATGACTTCCAGTTGACATTCTGATGTTTTTCTCCCTTTCTTCCCTGTTTTCTGTAGTTGTGATTACAGTGCACACATCCATGCACTGATAGGTCTTGGCTGATTATCTCGGCCCCAAGCCCAGGTCACGCCCTGAGGCACCAGAGGGAACCAGCGACAGAGCTGGAATCTGCTCTCATGTGGCTGAGAGATGGAGGGACGATGTTTAACAAGTCACGGGGGAGTGCGGGGGATCAGCAGGGAAGAGTGGGGTGCCGACCATGGAAGCAAGGTAGACAGGCTGCCAACCTTACCTGCAGGGTCAGGCAAGGCGAGCTGAGACCTAGAAAATAAGTCAAGATCATCTGGACCAGACAAAGGGCTGAAGAGAAGGCAAACACTGAATGTTGCGCAGAGAATGATGTGCAAGACCCAGAGGCAGCAAATTCTAGGACCAAAAAATGCAATTCTGTCCTTTCTGCATTTCACCATAAGTATGTTGCAAGTTATTGCATGTTCTTTATGACCATAATGTTTAAACGGCTACAAAGTATTCCATCTGATGGATACATAATACATTGTCGAGTTATTTTCCCATTATTGGATATTTAAGTGATTTTCAATTTTTCATAGTGATATATATTGCTGCAATGAACATCTTTGCACACAAAGCTTCTTCCTTTGTTTGGATGATTTGGTAGACAAAATTCTCAGAAGCTTAACAACTGGGTCAAACAGCCTAAACTTTACTTACGGCCCTTGATAAAGATGACCAAACTGCTTCCCAAAAGTACTGCCCCAATTTGCCATTCATCAGAATACTGAGCACCCTTGCTTATCACTAATATTGTTGATTTGCATTTCTTGGAGGCTGAGAGCTTTTCCCATGTGCTTAGTCACTGTTGTATTACCTCCAAGCCAGAGAAGTGGTGACAAAGAAAACCCAGCATCTGCCTTTAAGCCCCATCCTGGGTGGGGGCGGGGGACGGTAAGCAGACGGTGACAATTCAGGGCATCTACTCCTGCAGGAGAGTCTCAGATGGTGCCCTTGAAAGCAGAGCCTGACACAAGTGCTGGGAGGCATGTCATGTATCTGGGAGGCAACTCCAGGAACTGGAGTGAGGAAGCAGGGACAGGAGGTAGGCATGGACATCCAACCAAGGCTGCACACTGATCTGGCTCACACTGTGGCAATGGGGGCTTAATCCCACCAGAACTCCCTGAGGAACTGGACAGAATGCGCTCGGGGTGGTCCCTTGGCATCTGCCATGAGAAGTTGGCAGAGGATGCCCTGCAATCCCAGGGAGGCAGAGTTTAACCCAAACTGAGGAATCAGGGCATTTTCTGAACAGAAACAGATCATGCAGTTGGCTGCCCAAAATCCTGGTGTATTGTATTTCCCTCAGAGTGAAAGCCAGGGTCAGCGAGACCCCAGTTAATCTGGAATCCCACCATCTTGGCAAAATTCACACTCTCACTTCCCTCAGGGCTCTGCTCAGTGCCACTTATCTGAGAGCCCTTCCCTTGACCACCCTGTTTGGAATGCCCTACACTGCCACCACCAGCCAACCCCTACACCCCTTACCACTTTATTTCATAGTAGTTATCATAGTATCTCTGACATACTATATATTTATAAGCCTGTCTAAAATGTGGCTCACCCACTGGAATCAGAGTATCTGTGTTACCCCACTGGTGTGCAAGACACAAGTCCACAGGAGGCCAAGTGCATATGCACTGATGTGAGTGCCACCACCTGGAGTTCACCCTGCAGGTGTCCTTATTAGACTGTTAGCTCCACGAGGGCAGGGAATTCATTTTCTTTACCCCTGCATCTCCAACACCTGGACACAGTCTGGACACAGCCTGGTGTGGATGCAGCTTGGATACTGCTGCATTTCCAACACCTTGGATGGATGGATAGACAGATGGGCAGATGAATGAATGGATGGGTGATGGGTGGATGGACAGGTGGGTGGATGAGTGAATGGATGGGAGGATGGATGAGTGGGTGGGTGGATGGTTGGATGGATGGATGGATGGGTGGGTGGGTGGGTGGGTGGATGGACGGATGGATGACTGAACTGATTCTTGAAAGGGGAAGGGGTGAGGATGGAAAGGAAAGGCATCACAGCATGAGCCAAGGAAGAGATGTGAAACAGCACATTCTGTTCCCCAGCAGGAGGGCTGGAGGAAAGGCCTTCAAGATAAATTGCTCCCAGGTCCAACAACCTATTTTTATTTCTAAAATCAAAGCCAGCCATGATTTGTGCATCAGCAGGGAGGAGACTTGCCAGATCTTCTGGAGGATATTCCAGGACCAAGGGAAAGAGGAGGCCTGGGCTTGGATATCTAGAAAGCACAGAGAAGCTGGAGTACAGGTACCCCTGGCACCAGAAAGCAGGAAAATGTGAGTCATCGGCAGCAGGAGCACAGCTTCCGAACACGGCCTCCCGCAGGCAGCTGTCTGCCTTGTCACATTAATAGTGGGCTTTTCAGACTCAGCCTGAAAGGTGGTATTTTAATGCATGGTGTGTCAGAAGATCAGCCCCACCCTGCTCTGCTTTTCCTAGAATAAGACAATGGAGCTTGAACTCAAATCCATACCCTCCCCAACACCACCGGATACCGTGTGCAGGGGCTGCAAGGGTTGCGTGCAAGCTCTTGGCATCCCGCAGGTGCCAGTATATTTCTGAAAAACTTAGCTCATAGTAAGAAAAGAGCTGATGTGACATCCCATTTTCTTTCTTAAAATTAGTTCCTTTTCCTTTCAGTCAGCTTTTCAGAGCCATGTTCTTCAGAATTCTAGCTGAGAGGGACCTTAGCAGGTGTTGTCCTGGAAAGGGGTTCCCTGGTGTAGTGAGTTTAGAAAATTCTGGTTTAAACAGAAGCAAAGACAGTCTTAATGACAGAATTTCTTGGACCCTTTCCTCTGCTGATGTATAATGTGAATATTGAAGAGGGGAACTGAATTCACATCTTCTCCAAACTCAGATCCTTTGTGGCATGGAAAATCTTTCCACAGAAGATACCTTAGGAAATGTGCTTTGTTACATTTCGCACTGAACAGTCCGTATGGAATGTTAGGTCTGATCTGACCTCGGATGCATACAAGGTTCAGAGACCAGTGTGACCTCTAAGTTCCCACAACTAACAAGGGAACAAGGGGGCAGGGTAGACCCAAGTTTCCCAACTTCCTGTCCAATGTCCAGGCCACCAAACCACACTTTTGTCACATTTTTAAACATTCTCATTCTCTAGAATCCACGACACCCCATAAGCAGATGGAATTTAGAAACATCCTGAGATCTGTGATCAAAGGACTCCCAGTCTAAGGATCCCTTTTTCGTGCATGAAATGTGAACGTAAAAACTCAGAACTGTACACCCAAAAGAGTGAATTTTACTATACACATATATAATTTTTTATATTTAATGGCATAAAACTCACACACTTAAAAAATAATAATAATATTGGTGCTAGCCACTGCCTCTCAAAGGAGTGTCATGAGGAGTCAACAGCAGGTGCGGACAACAGCAAGCTCTGTAGAAAAATTGCTACTTTAATTATTTAAAAGACAGAGAATAACAAATGCTCGTGAGGATGTGGAGAAAGGAGATCCCTCCTGCACTGTTGGTGGGACTGTAAATTGGTGCAGCCTTTATGGAAAACAGTATGGAGGTTCCTCAAACAGCTACAGATAGAACTGCCGTCTGATCCAGCAATCCCACTGCTGGGTGTACACCCAAAGGAAGGGAAATCATCATGTTGAAGGGAGACCCACACTCCCATGTTCATCGCAGCTCTATTTACAGTAGCCAAGAGTTGGAACCAACCTAAATCTTGATCACTGGATGAATGGATAAGGAAAATGTGGTATATATACACAATGGAATACGACTCAGCCATAAAAAAGAATGAAATTCTGCCATTGACAGCAACACGGATGAGCTTGGAGAAAATTATGTTAAGTGAGATAAGCCAGGCACAAAAAGAGAAACACTGCATGTCCTCACTCATAAGTGCGTACTAAAACAGAGAGAGACAGAGAGACAGAGAGAGACAGAGAGTGAGAGAAAGAGAGAAAGAGAGAGAAAGAAAGAAAGAAAGAAAGAAAGAAAGAAAGAAAGAAAGAAAGAAAGAAAGAAAGAAAGAAAGAAAGAAAGAAAGAAAGAAAGAAAGAAAGAAAGAAAGAGAGAAAGAGAGAAAGAGAAAAAGAGAAAAAAGAGAGAAAGAAAGAAAAAGACCAAAATAACACACTGAACTTTCAGAAGAAGAGAACGAATCAATGCAATCAATGGTTACTAGAGGTGGGAAAGGGGGAGGGACAGGGTG